CTTGCCCCGGCCCCACCCCCTTCTGCCAGAGACCCTCAGATCTGTCCTACTCTTGCCCAGGCCCCCACAGGCCCCCTTGATGCGAATGATGTAGAACTTGCTATGCCCATCCAGTAGGCCACACCCACTCCATCCACACCCACCCAGTAGGCTGCTCCCACTCTGGCCACACCCACCCGGCCCCCCAAGGGCAACTGCAATGCTGATGTGGCCCTCAGTGAAATTGAGTTTGACACCCCTGCCATAGTTCCTTAGTTGCCTCCCAGGAGGTTCAAGATTTTAAAGTGACTCTTGATGTTCTCCTTGAAAATGGTGAGTATATGCCCAACATTCAAGCGTGAAACCAGTTGGTTTACTTTTCCATCTTTAACTTGGCTTGGAAATTGAATCTGAGTGGTTTGTGACCTGTTCTACAGCCCTTTATTATTTGAACTGAGTTCTTCCATCTCCTTGTATCAGTATCAGTATACTTAATTCCATTTCTGTGTATTCTGTCTGGAGATGGCCATGTATATAGGTGTTGTTTTGGTTTTGCTAGATGTTATAGAGTTCTTATTTTATCTGGGTTTTTTTCTGCTTAAATAACTCCCAGCAAATAAAATGTTGGCAGCATTTGTATTTTGCTTCCTTTGAACTCTCATAATTATGCTTGCATCCTTTCTTTGTTCAGATTGACATATCCTGTTTAATGGCTGGCCTCTATATCTGGCCTGATCCCCCCAAAACCCATAGGGTAAATAGTTTTTCTAAGGAACTCAACTTTAGGAATATGTGTATGCATACGCATGTATGAGTATATGTACATATGTGCCATAAAAGACTTCTGTACTAACCTAATTTACTTTTTAAAAATGTACTCTCTGTTATTGCTGCTACTGGTTATTAAAATGTTATTTTCTATTCCTTCTCTCACATGTGGGGATCACCTCCCATAGCTCCTACTTTGATATAAATCAAAGGTTGTCATTTTATCCAAAGCAGAAAACTAACATGTTTTTATCTTACTCAGCAGGATTGGAAATCAGAATTTAATAAACCTGAATGCAAACACCTCTATTGGTGGCAGAGTAAACAATAATTAAATAAACCAAAAATAAATGTTAGGATTTCATAATCCTTCTAAAATGCCATTGGACGAGGAAGGTTGGGTAGAAAAAGGTAAAATCATGAAAAGCAGATAATTACATAGATTGGGACAAGAAACAGCATATATTTAGGATATAATAATAGAAAAAAGGATCCAGAATGAAAGCATTAAAGAAGGTCCTCCTTGCCATAAGCCTGACAAAGTGAGAAGAAAAACAGAGTTAAATGTACTTAAGAAGGAAGCCCTGCCTGTTTTTTGTCTGAAAAACAGCAGGAATAGAAGGTGTAATCCATGAAAGGACATGAGATAAATTTGATATGTTTCATTCTAGTCACTCTCTTTCAGCTTTCATTCACCCAATGAGTGAAGTATAAATCGCTCAATTTCCAGGGTTATAATACAAACAAATGCAAAAACACAGCGATGTATAGTCTGTTTTTTTAAAAATGGTCCTATCAAGGATTCAGAGGAGCCCATCTCATTTAGTTCTTAATAATCAAAGTCTCTGTATTTCTTTCTTTCTGTCTCCCCCCAATGTTGGCCCCATTAATGTCAGACAAATCTGTTTAGCAATGCCAATCATCCTAGACCCATATCTGCAGCCCCAAAACTAGACAATCATGCTTGCTTTATGCATGTTCCTATGGTTACACCGAAGAGATTGAGGAGTTGCAATACAAAGCTCGGCCTTTTCATCACGGTTTCTTTTGTTCTTTCTTTCCTATCTGTTCTTTCTGAATCAACATGTGTCAAACATAAAAGAATGTCAAACCTCAAAAGCGATAACTATCTATACCTATTCTCCATCTCATTCCTGCTGTCAGAAAATCACTAGGTAAGTGGGCCAGATGGATGAGATGAAAGCAATCATTTATGAAAATAACTGTGATAGAAATAGGTGAGTGAACACATTGCATTGCATCCTAATGCTATTGCCAGGTATATAAAAGGTGGTTCAGTTGGGGATCAGTTCTAACACTGATTAGGGCAGTTCATCCCAATATTTAGATTTTGTATTTATATATTGGTTGTTTGGTAGTTGATGTTATGTATGAAAAACCTGCTTCTAGAAGTTGTGAATGCTCCAACACTGGAAGTTTTAAAGAAGAGATTGGACAACCATTTGTCTGAAATGGTATAGGGTTTCCTGCCTGAGCAGGGGGTTGGACTAGAAGACCTCCAAGGTCCTTTCCAACTCTATTATTATTATTATTATTGTTGTTGTTGTTGTAAAACACCCAGAGTCTCACTGTCTGAGTTGAGCAGCCTTCTATCTCTTGAAATACATAAATAAAAAAATAGAAAACATTGCAATTACACCAGCTGGGCTAAAGAAAGATACAAGTTGAATATGAATAAGGCTGCTAGCCATAAGGATGGAGAAAAGAATTTAATTAAGTACTTAGTTCCTTACTGATATAAATCTGTGAAGGAATGTAGTCTGGATTCCCCGGCGGGAGGGGGTGCATTCTAGAGCAGAGTTCCCCAACCTTTCCAGCTTGGCAGCCTGGAAGGAAAGGGAGCAGCAAGGAAATGTGCGCACATGCGGCTCCACGCACACATGTGCAAATGGATGCTCGCACAATGGCAGTGCTAGCATGCGTGTGCATGCACAAGTGGGCTGTGTGCACCCATGGCGTGCAGGCTAATGTCTGCACATGTGCAAATGGGCCATGCGCACCCATGGCATGCGTGCTGGTGCATGCACATGCATGCACAAATGGGCGGCTGGTGCCCATATGAAGCTGGTGGCAGTGCTAGTGTCCCTGCGCATGCGCAAATCGGGCTGTTAAGACCTGCGCGACGGTGCTACCGCAAATGGGATGGGGCTTGCCAGCTATTCCTGGGACCCAGTAGCCAACAGGCCACGGCCCGGTACCAGGCCACAGACCATTGGTTGTGGACCCCTGTTCTAGAGCAGCAAGAGACAATTCACTACAGATAGTTTATGTGAGAGAAAGAGGGTAAAGACAGCTCCTCCCTAATAGTTCCTGGAGTATATGCTTTATGAGGGGGCAGTTTGCTTTAATTTGGCAGGATTACTATCTATAGGTGAGGGACAGTAAAGAAATCTGCTTGGAAGAATCACAGTCTGTTTATGTTTTGGAACCTGACATAAAATAAGCTTATATATTGCTATAGAGAATCATGTAATATAATGGTCAAAGTACTGTACTAAGAGCAGAATGATCCAGGCTGTAGTCCTTCTTTAGATATGAAAGTTAGAAAAATGACTTTGCCCAATCACTTTCTTTCAGCTCAAGATGTCTTTTCTCAAGACTAATCATATTTAATTTCTTTTATCTATCTTGGTAAGATATGACTCCTGCTCTTTTGATCATCCTTACTACTCTTCTCTGCCTCAAACTGGACACAAAGCCGGTCTGACTTATGCAGTAAACTATTAATTTCTATGATGTAGAAACTACTTATATTCGCAAATGAAGATAAATATACATGCCCCAGGATCATATTGCAGGATCCAATGTGAGTCAGTCACTGGGACCAAAGATTTATTCTACCCACATTTCCAAGTGACCATCCTTGATATAATGGACTGGATGTTGCCTGATTAAACCACTTCAGTTTCTAGCTGTTTATAGTTTAAACTGATAATTAACTACAGGATAAGGTTCTCACAATTGGTTTTGCAATTTTTGCAATTGTGGTAGTATCAGTCCGTCAGTCATAGATAAGATGCACCTATGTGCCTATGCATCTATGTCTGTTTCCACTTTTCCGTATTCAAGTTCCACAATCAGGCTTTGTTATAGAACACTACAAATGAAAATGAAGGCTATGGCCTGATAGTAGAATTAAACATGAACGATCTGGCAAAAAGGAAGATAACTACTGCAGACTGAAAGGATGAAATCACTGGAGGGGAAAGGAATTTGAAACTAATTTATCTAAGGAGGAAATGGCCCTAAAGCAATATGCAACCCATCTATCTCCTTTGTTGTGCCCTATAGATCTCAGAAGTCAACTGCTTGTTTTGGCAATGAATACTGAGAAATGACAGCATGGTTTCACATTCCTGGCAGGAAAAAAAAGAGGGTTCTGCTTTAAGTTCAGCACATCAAAAACCTAAAAAGGGGCCGATATGTTACACCTCTAAAATGACACCCTGAAATCATAGCCTGCCCATAAGATGTTTGTCCAACATGTCAAGGTCCCTCCCAATTTTCGTTTTCATTGTGCAAAAATTTTAATTTCATTAGTTCTATTACTTTGTGATACAAACAAGTTTACACCATCCAAACTGTAATAAACATACAGCTTTTTCAAGCTAGAAATTACATCTTTCCTTAAGGTTTTCATTCTGAAATGTAAAATTCATTTTCTAGATTGTACTATCTTCCTTGCGTATGTTCTAAATGCCTCTTTCTATAAAATGGTCGTATCAATTCTACTGTGTCCATGTTTTATTATTTTATTTTATTGATTTATTTTCTTATGAATATGATTATTCTATTGGAAAACAGAAAAGACCTTATTTCTGTTTTATTTTCCCCAAACTGCAAAATCAGATGAGGAATGTTTAAAATCAAAGGTCAAAGAATGAGTTCGCTAGGACCCAAATTCCCTTTGACCCAGCATTTTGCTTTTACAACAAATCTGCATCGCCGTTTGTGAAATTCTCCAGCCAGTGCAAACTTTTCAGTTGTCAGCAAGGATAGGGCAGTTGCCTTTTTTATAGGCATCTGTCATAAAATACTTTTGGAAATAACATGAAAAGGTCTGACCATCCCTATATAAATCGCTTGTTCAGAATAATATTATTAAATTTTGGAGTAGCATACAGGTAACAACACCCCATCATCACCACCCACCACATCATCCATCCATCCAGCACCCACCACCTCTTGGTTATATAAATTCCCAGCATATCCCTACCTGTGATCACCCTCACCTCATCACATGGAGCTATCCGGTGGATAATGTCTTTCAAACATCCAATCATCTTTTCTTCCTGAAAATCATAAGGAAAGGTTTCCGTCCATTCTGTTAATAACTGTAAGATCTTGGGCCCAAATTTTCTGATTCGTGCCTAAAATAGAGGTTAAGGAATGAAAGATGAAAAATTAAGGGAAGTACATCAACAGATAAAGAGAGAGAAAATGACCTTAATTTAAAATTAAAGCATTTGCAGGATACCTGGGAAGCTTACATATGTGCAATAAACTTAACATGGATGATAAATCTCCTTAGATTAGGTAGGGATGAGTGAATCATTCAACTTCCTGTCTGGGTTAATTTTGTAGTAATTTATAATTACATTTCAGTTCATTTTTCCATTAATCCATTGGTTTTTTTAAAAAAAAATCTACCTTTTTTATTTAAATCTGCATATATATTTTTTGTGTTGGATTTATCAAAAAGGACATTTCTCAACCATTGCTTCTTTGGCTATACCTAATAGTTGTCCGTTCACATTGCACAGCTACCGGTTAGCCTGGAAAGGTTTAGTTTGAATCCAACAACTCGCTGCTGTAAATCAATTTAGTCTTTTTCCTAGTCTTTGTTTTTAATACATTTGTTTGTGATTATGCATGATGCCCTGTCACTTCCAAAATATTTTTAGGAGTCATTTCAGCAAGTTCCCTTTGAAACAGCACACATGCCCATTACAATAATAGAAACTCTAGATGAGACAGAAATTTTCCTTGCTTTGGCCTCCAAATGAAAGGTACCCTTTAATCAAACAAAATTATATTGTATGTATTGAAGCTTCCTGCCTTTTCCGCAAAACTGGTCAGTAGAGCTATTTTAGTATTTGGCCAAAATAGGTTTCGAGGGAACTATCACTGGACATAATATAGCAGTTAAAGACTTTTGAAAAGGTCAAGGAAATAGGGTGCATTCTCTCTCCCACTTTGCTCAAGGTGCCTATAAAATACAGTAGTCCTCAACTTATGACAACTGATCCAAAATTCATGTTGCTAAGTGAGAAATTTGTTAAGTGAGTTTTGCCTCATTTTACAACTTTTCTTGCCACATTTGTTAAGTGAATCACGGCAGCTGTTAAATGGATCTGATTTTCCCATTGACTTAGCTTGTCAGAAGGTTGCAAAAGGTGTTCACATGACCCAGGACCTTGCAACAGTCATAAATGTGAACCAGTTGTCAAGCATCCGAATGTAAATCACATGACCATGGGGATGTTGCAACGGTTGCAAATGTGAAAAATGGTCAAAAGTCACTTTTTTCAGTGCCGTTGTAACTTAGAAGAGTCACTAAGCAAACTGCTGCAAGTTGAGGACTACCTGTATTGCTAATCCAGGGCAGATGAAAAAAATTCTTTAGTATACAGAGAACAATCATGGAAAACTCCTATCATAGTGAAACACTTGTTTCTTACCATACTCTGAACAAGGTAATTCAACACACGCCCAAAAGCTACAATGGGTCTTTACACCTTCCTTTGGAAAGCATCACTGCAAATCATGTACCCCTGCAGTACACATTTACATATTTTGCCACTGACTTTAACAGAAAAACAATTTAGCAACTAGTCTATTTTTGCAATTGTTATTATCCTGCTGCATCTTGCTTAGAAGAGAGCTGAATCTTCTCCCTCTCTTGGGGATCCCAGCTGCTGAAAATAAAATTTTCTACCATCTGAATACAGCAGCTTGGTCTGTGTCGCAAGACATAGGGATTTAACGTCTTTACAGGTGTGCAACAATGCAGTCATTTTAGCTATTTATATATTTCATTTATTCTGTTCCAAGATTATATGTACAGGTTTGTATGTCTGCATAAGACAGAAAAAGTGGAGACTGTTAATAAATTAATAATAAAGATCAATAAAATGTTAACAATAAGTGATTCTTGAAGATCTGCTGTTAACATTTTTCTCAGGAATTTAACAATACAGCGAGTCTAAATATGAACAATTATTATAAGATTTGTAGGTTCAGCGTACAAGATTTACTACCACTCTTTATATCAATTCTTATTTTCAGGGGCAGAATTGCCAAATGGGAATGCATAATCTGCTAACCCATTGCATGCAGCTTTATAAAGAAATGTTTCTGCTAACAAAGTACCCCTAACCCTGAAATAGAGTGGCAGGAGGAGAAATGTCTGTAACTATAATTTCAAAGAGCAGTTAAGTCCTCTGGTATTTCAAATACTGCTGCGTGGACCCACTTCTTTAGCTACATAAAGTGAAGGCGGTCCATGGTGCCCTTTCTTGTAAGGCATGCATTTGTCTTTAAAATTCTGCAAGAGAGATTGTTACTTTTGCAGCAGGAGGCAACACAGCAATTCCTCCCAATGTTTTACAAGCACCCCATTAGCTCTTGTAGACAAGCTCAGCATATGCAGAGAAATAAATCTGGAATAGTTGCACTGTGTTTTTCAGAATGAGACAAGGAACAATTACCAGTAGTCCTCTACTTACAACCCACAATTAAGCCCCAAATTTCTATGGCTAAGCAGTTGTTTAAGTGGGGCTTGCCCCGTTTTATGATCTTTCCTGCCACAGATATTAAGTGAATCATTGCAGTTGTTAAGTTAGTAACATGGCTGTAACGTGAATCTGGCTTCCCCATCTGACTATGCTTGTCAGAAGCTCAAAAAAGGCGATCATATGATCCCGGGACACTGCAACGGTCATAAATAAATGCCAATCGCCAAGTGTCTAGATCTTGATCATGTGGCCTTGGGGATGCTGCAACAGTCGTAAGTGTAAAAACAGTCATAAGTCACTTTTTTTCGATGTGGTTGTAATTTTGAATGGTCACTAAATGAATGGTTGTAGGTTGAGCACTACCCGTACCTTATTGCTGAAAATGCTAGAAGGGTATTTTAGTCAAAGAGAGCAAGCAAATGGGACAATTTCAACACAGGCCTTCTGCACTCCATTAGAACCAGGCTTTACTTTTGAGGAGAGCATGAGGGCTGTACAGAGCAGGGTGACCAAGCAAAATCATCAGGACAGCACTACACCTATTGGGGCAGGAATTTCTGCTTGTTTTTCCTGAGATTTGGGAAGCAGAATTTTGGGTTGAATTTGCTTTAAATACATTAAACCTACTTGAGGGCTTACATTATTATATTGTTTGCATTTCCATTATTAAAACGGCAAGAAACAGTGCAGTAATTTTCAGCAATTACAGTCAAAGGGGGCTCCAACAACTACAGGGGAAAAAAAAAAGGCTCCGTGTGGCTCTGGTTCTCCACATCTGTATCAGACAACTGCAGCCAAACCATTCCCAAATGCATTTATCTGGGCACCCTTAGGATCACAAAACTCTCCATGGGGACAAAGGGACATATGTAGCAAGGGAAATAAGGTACAATTGGAAGTTTTCTCCAAATGCACTGTAATAGCAATAGCACTTAGACTTATATACTGCTTCATAATGCTTTACAGCCCTCTCTAAGCATTTTACGTAGTCAGCATATTGCCCTCAACAATCTGAGTCCTCATTTTACCGACCTCGGAAGATGGAAGGCTGAGTCAACCTTGAGGCAGTAGAATCTAACTCCTTGTAGCGAGCAATGAGTTAGCCTGCTGCACTGCATTCTAACCACTGCGCCACCATGGTTCTTGTTATATTGTAATCCTGTTGTCATACTGTGAATGCTACCCTTACTCATCCTAGTATCTGCAATCATCAAACGTACCAACCTTATCCAGCACTGGGTCATCCAGTTGCTGCTGCTCAATGCACTTGTGACAAACACGGGAGAGAAGTTCATGTGGTTCAATGAACAGTCTTGAGCTCAGCAGGAATGTGAAGATATAGGCCTTCTGAGGAAAGGAAACAGGAACATTCATCTAACAACAACTGGCTAGAGAACTAAATATGCAAAATTCCTTCTCAAAGGCAGGAGGTCGTTCAGTGGTTTATTCTGAAACAGAATACAGCGGTTGCAATTTCAATCTACCTGGACACTATATAAACAGGGGACGCTGTGTTGGTGTATCTGGTGTGAACTTTTTTTTAACCAACTTTATTAGATTTTAAAATAAAGAAATAAAAACTAACAAGGATTAATAGTTAAGAAAAATTCTTATTAAAGTTTTTGTTTTCTTTTCGTGACATTTTCTATTGCCTAGATGCTTTTGGGATAGGAGCAGCATATAAATACTATAAAATAAACATATAAACAGACAAGCAAATCAACGGCCATTAGATATAAGTATTAAAAATGGATGAGCAAGATATTTACTTCTCAATACAGGAGTCTTTTAAGAATGATAAATCATGCTATATTCTGTATAGTATCTTTTCAGAAATTGGGATTATGTTTTGGCTAATACATAGGAATAACATCTAGCTAGTTTACAACTTATTTGCTCTTGGTGGTGTTCCCACTGACACTGGGGACAGTAACTATTTAAGATGTTCTCTAGTCAGAGATATTTTTTACTAATTTATCATTGTGAATTAGAGTTCTGTGTCATCAAAAACAAACAAAACCCCTACAGAATAGTGATGCTTGGGAAAGTGCATGCATATCAATTTATATTTCTGCTAAAAAGGTACAAAGTTGACACAGAGGCAAGTGGAACAAAAAACATTACTGTACAAGTAGTCCATAACTTATGACCACAATTGAGCTAACATTTCTTTTGCTAAATGAATTTTGCCCCATTTTATAGCCTTTCTTGCCACAATTGTGAATCACTGCAGTTGTTAACACGAACAAGTGAACCTGGCTTCCCCAATGACTTTGCTTTTCAGAAGATTGCAAAGGTGATCGCATGACTCCAGGACACAGCATCCATCATAAGTACACACCAGTTTCCAAATGACCAAATTTTGATCATGTGATCATGGGGATGCGGAAATGGTCGTAAATGTGAAAAATGGTGGTACGTCATTTTTTCAGTGTGGTTGTAACTTTGAACGGTCACTAAATGAATGGTTGTAAGTTGAGGACTATCTGTATATTGTTTATTTGTAACCTGCATCAAAAGAAACTTTCCTAATTTAAAAATTGTTGACAGCTTGCAAAAAGTGATGGTCAAATTCATCAGAACAAATGGCAGCTCACAGTAACCAAATATTTACCTCAGGGTAGTAGTCAGCTGTAGGTATAAGGTGTTGAATTAAAGCATCAAGAGATGCTGAGGTAAGGTTCCCATCTTGAAAGATCAGTCCTCCTTCATCATCTTCTTTGGAAGGATGGAGGTGATGAGGGCTGAAGCCACAAGAAGTAAACATGCTGGCAGAGCTCAGTGTTAGGGGCATGCCTTTCTGGAACAAAAGAAGCACAGATAAAATCAGTCAAAGGTACACCCAAAAATTACATCAGAGCCTGGGAATGAATGAGCGAACGAATGAATGAATGGAAACACTTGCATTTGCAAAACTTCCTGGGACATACTTTCCCACCATTGATATCCCTGGCCATGTTTCTCTCAGTCTTAAGCTTCATTGCGGCCCTTTCATCCTGCCCTTCACATTTTATTGGAAAGGTTTTTTGTTGCTGTTGTTGGAAAAGATTCAACCATATTAGGAGTTAAGAAATGCTGTCTTTTAATAACAGGATATTTTTATTCTTTTAATAAACCTTGTAAGAAATGACAAGGGAAACATAATTTACTCTCCCTGTGATATAAAAGCTTTGAACATTTTTGGATAAACCAATCTGCTCTCTCTCATACACACTGCCCTGGGCACAATGGGTTATCTTGTAAGGTTAGCATAATGTACAACCACCATCCTACTGGTTGTCCAGGATATAAAGTAACAAGGACATGTACCAACATGCATTGCTATAACACTTTTTAAAACGCTTAATGATTAGTCACTTAAAACCATTCACAGTTACAGATAAACCCTCCCCCCAAAGTTACTTATGACCCATCTTTAAAATTACGACTTCCACAGCCTACCAGAGTCACATGATCGCATTTTGGGCACTTGGCAACCAGTGTGCATTTACAACTGGTTGCAGTGTCCCAATGGTCACGTGGCCACAATTTGCAACATTTTTTACTGGGTTTGGGCAAAAAAAAGAAAAAAGTCCATATGGGAGAATGGATTAACAATCACAGTGACTCACTTTATGACCATCATAAAAAGATTTGTAAAATTGAGATGGGTTATATTGGTGGCCTGCTTAACAACCATGACAACTTATGACCAAAATTCTTGTGGCTCTTATTACATGAGCCACATGTAATGCTCTTCTATAGGTCTTATTACATAAGGACCTATAATTCACATCTTTTTAAATACATTGCCAACTCTTTTCAGCGTTCCCATCTTTTGTTTTGAATACCGGCAAAATTGTTTGATCACAGCCGCACTAGCCTCTCTGCTGCCCTCCCACAGATGCCCAAGCATGACTATTGATTCTCTGAGTCAATTTATTCAGACTGAGTTAATGAACTGCTGTCTGCAGCCCAAGTCAAACTGCCTGAATACTATTTTCCTTGTTCTTGATTGAAGTGAAGCCTGCAGGAGCTCATCCAACTTGGTTAACAAATCACTACAGCTTCTATTATTTGTGTGGAAATTGAAGTCAGCTAAATCTGCATAAGCTAATAACTGAAGTGATCATGGATCCTTTAAGTCTAAAATACCAAGGTTTCACCTGTTATTTGTGGAAAATATCTTACGATCACGCTCAAGTATATTGTGCCGAAATCTTGGAAAAGAAATAAAATAAATAAAATAAATAAAGGCTCTCAATGGAGATCTGCTGGTAGTAAATATCTGGACCCATAAATGTGGTTTCTTTGCTAACATTACAGAAGTGATTTCCCATTGTCAAGATACTGACTGATTTATCTATGTAAACATGTAAGCCATCACCATATATTAGTTAACATTCTTTAGGCTTTGACACATCTTAGCTTTTTCCATCCCAGACTAGCCCAGAGACTTGGCTGCTGCCATCTGCTATAGGGCCTCTAGCTGAATCCACTTTGGGATTAGTAGGCCAACTAATCTCAAAGTGGGATTAGTTTCAACTTCCATTTACCTTCTGGCTAAAAGCAAGAGCAAAGATTTGTTAAGAAACAAAAACTGAAGATACTAAAAATAAATGTATGGTTATTTTAATTATTATTCTATTAAATCTAGACTCTGCATTAAACTGAAAAGTGGCAGTAAATATGATGATAACACAGAAGTTCTCTGTGGATTATATTGTATCAATGTAGAGAAGATAGAATGCTTAAAAAGCTTATAGAGATGCTACCAGAAAACACTCCGTAAATAGGGCCTAATTAGGTTAAGAAATTCACACAAAAGAGCAGAATATTAGGTCCCTAGGACAAATTAGTAACTTATGTATTAGGAAGAAATATTTTGCTCTAATTGGCTGACATCCATTATCCTCAGTCCTTTTCCCTAAATAAATGCTTAGAATCAGAAACATTCTTTCTGACTGTATCATCAAGGCAAGTGGAAATAAATAATGATTACAAATAAGCATTGTCTACATAGCAGCATTTGGGGGAAGGGGGATTTCAAAGCAGAAAAATCAAAGTGAATACCTTATGGTGACAAAAATCAAGAAACTGGCTTGAAGAACATAGTAGCATCAGAATTAATTTTTAAAAAGAAAATTGACAGTACAAAGAAAAGTAAAGTTAATCTTTGCACGTTCCTTAGATGTTATAATTTTGCTTACGTATATTAGGGAGCTATAATTCTTATCAACATATCGTCCACCTCAATGCATTGGCAAAATCAGATTATATGATGAAAAATTTCTATTTAGGTACAATTTAATAAAGATACCCAGTCCTAATGCTCCTTTAAATGTAGACCATTGGCTAACAATTGCCAGGTTAAACATATGAACAAAACAGTGTAGGGGATGGCGAGAAAGGCAGAAATCATTTCATGTGAATCTTTGGAAGACTTTTGGAACCAACTATGTGGGCGTCCAGGCTCCAGCTGCAGAATGCTCATTACATCAACATTCAATGAAAAGGCCAGGAAAGTTTGGTCACTGGCACTTTTACATTTAACAGAAAGTCTTGTGGCAAGTGATAATGATATTGTCAGTACTGGCTGACATGCAAATTGCAAAGTCCTAAGAAAAGAAACAAAACAGCCCTCTCCTTATTAAAAAGCCAAACAGAATGCATGCAGTCTTTTTCTTAATTTCAAAGGGCAAAATACTTGTAATCGGTGGTTGAATGCATGATATTTTGGGACTAAGGATTTGGCTGCCTTTTACTTCTAATGTTATATGCACACTAGGTTTCATACTGCATGAAAATTGGAAAGATAGCCAAATCCCATTACTAATTTCCAATTAGTATTATTTTGTTTTCATGGAAACAATAAATGAATGAACAGATAGCTGTCTTTATCCTAATGCCTTTCAGTGGATGGAGATTTCAAATTTCCAGGTGAATAGGTCAGGGAAGGCTGAGCTATCTATTGTTGAAAGAAAAATCTTCAGGTCCAATCCAAGCCAGGAATAAATAAAATGGAGGCTGTTTGGAAAGAAGGTTCTATTTATTGAAGAACAGAACCAACAGCATGTGGTTCTGGGACAGCTGACAAAATGGAGCTGGGATAGGTGGGCTTTTATACCTTCTTTGGGCTTTGTATTTTGACCTGAGCTTGAGTGTGCCCTTTTGGTATTCTAATGGTGGTGGGTTAATCCTATTATGTCCTAATGGTCATGTTCCTGTCCTTGGGAGTCTTTGTTTTTCTAATCCCATCAGTTCAAACCTTCTCTGTGGCAGTGGCTGAAGGCATTTTGCTTACGAATAATGGCCCCAAATCTCCATTTCTTAAAAGCTGGCCTGCTTGAAGGAAGGAGACTGGGGGCTGGTTTCTGCCTAAGATTTTTCTCCATTATTCCTTTGGGGAAATATACTATTCTGCCTTTTTTAATATTCCCCTGAGTATTTCCTTCTCTAGGAGGGTGGGTGGGTGCTGACTTCCAACACTATCAACATATATGGAATCAGGAATACATTGTAGATATTGAACTATCACAGTCACAAGCCTGCATAATACTTTCTTCAATAAAAATGACAGACCTCTGTAGTGCTATCCTATTTGAAGCCATAAATTATTACGTCTCCGTGCCACTTCTAGTTTTGTTAAGACATTGAGAAACTTAAGAGAAGGGGTCCCTCTTTATGAACCATCAAGTGGCACTTCAGTTTCTTTAAAAATGTAAGTACAACCAATAATTTTAAAAGAACTGGAACTAAAGAAATTATTCTTGGAGTTATATTTCTTTATTTTTAAATAAAGCATATTTTTAAATATGCTGAGGAAATGGATAGTTTTCAGAGTTGTCAAAAAATGTAATTATGTATGGTGATATCTACGCTAATACAATGTTTTCAGAGTGGTAAGTGAAGTGTGATCCATCCACCAATCTTCTAAGAACCCACAGATAAAGCTGTTACCAAAACCAGGCTGTTTAGAAAGCATTTGCTAGTTCAGCGCAAAGATACGGCATAAACTATCTACTTGAACATTTTTTCATTTTTCTATATAAGGCCAATAAAGCAGGTCACAATCCAGAAAATTACTTCAGTCATGTATTAGTCAAAACCTATCAGTGTTTTTGAGCATGCCCAGTTTATTATGAACTGTTTTGAAATGATCTGCTGTGTAGCATACATGGAGTTACTAAGCATAACACTTAAGAGAATGTGGAATCCTTTAATTCAGAAAGTACTTCAGCTATAAATGCAACAGAATTCAATTATCTGTATTTTGAGGAAAGCATTTTCGTTCACTCTCAATTTCATATCTGAAATACAAGAACAAAAGTTTTATGGGGCTATTGTGAGGATCACGGGAATAATATGCTATTTATAATAAAAGTAACTCCAAGTCATATGAACATATACTATTAGTTGCCCTATTCTCTGGACTGTCATCATAAAAATATATTGTGATGCTGTTTCATTCTGCTGCACAATATTTTTTTGCTGATTTTTAATTCATTCAGCCTGTAATAGGTCTGATTATAGTGGCAACTACGACACATACAAGCTGTATTCACATAAGATGCTGAACCATGGTTTGCTTAATTTCATTTGGTTGATACTAATCTGTAAATCATAGTTTGCAAATTACACTATCTAGGTTCACACATATTAGCATATATACAAACTTAGCACAAACTGATAATACAGTTGGAATTGTTAAAAACTGAATCCACACAGAAGAGACTCTAATAGCTTGTAGTCGTGCTTATAGTTATCTCAGCACTTATAATTCATTCATCTATCTTCTGGCACTTCATTTTTCTCCCAAGA